TGAAAATAATTATGAACAAAGTTTGTCCCTTTTTTGAGATTTTTTCTGATTTTGAGTCATTTTGTAAAAGTTTGAAAAAGTTTCAGCTCAGATTTCTTCTTTCTTTTGTAATTTAATTTTGGAGTCATTGTTGGAGACGTTTCAGTTCATTTCAGCAGGTTCAGAATCATTTTGGATAAAGTTTTGTCATTTAAGATGATTTTTGAATCATTGTGGAGACATTCTGAGTCATGTAGGAGAACTTTCAGTGCTTTTGGACGTCTTCCAGTTAATTCCAGTCAGGATCAGAACAGTTCTGGACAAAGTTCTGTCATTTAAAGCGACGTTTGAGTCATTTTGTACAATAATCAAGTCATTCTGGAAGAAATTTCAGTTCGTTTCAGTGGATCGGACTAGTTCTGGACACAATTTTGTCATTTCAGGCAGTTTTTGAGTCAATGTTGGATTTTTTTTTGGACAGAAGTCATTTTGACCAAAGTTCTGAATAGTTTTATTGACCAAAGCAACGCATTTTTGAGTCTTTCTGGAGAAATTCTGATGATTCTGTGCAACTGATTTTTTCTTATTAGCATTTTACAGAATCTGTTTTAGTGCAAATCGGACTTTAAGCTCAGATTTGTCTCGTTTCTACAACAGAACGCACAAAGATGACGATTCTTTATGTTCTTACAGTTTCTGGCGGATCAGCTGAATCATTTTGTCTGTTTTGTGAGATAAACGAGTGAAACCTGCAGCCGGTCGGGCTTTACGGGGTGAAGTCGTCTATCTGAGCCTGGAAAACAGTTTACCTTTTACTCTGCAGTTATGTCTGATTTCACAATTTGAAGCCTTGGCCGGTGTGTGTGTCGAGACGAGAAGCGAAACAGCACCTCAATCACGGAGACGTTCCTCTTTTAAAGGCTTCGCTTCGTCTCAATCACTCTCAATCGCCGCCTCAATCTCCGGCGCTGATCCTCACAATCACCACTCACAGCAGACGGGCGGGTTCACCTAGGTTCAGGTAGAAGTCCAGGCGTCCTCGGTGGAGCTCCAGGGTGATGTAGTCGCCCCGCTGGCCCTCCCCGTGCAGCAGGACGCCCTCCGTCTGGTGGCTCTTGAAGCGCAGCGAGATCACGTCCTTCACCGTCGACATGGACTTCTGGTTGAATCGGTACAGCAGCGAGCTGCGGCCGTCGAAGTCGGCCACGTACGACTCTGAAACCGGAGCAGAAGGATGAGCGGGAAAACGTGAAGCTGCTGCTGCTGCGCCGCCGCCAGCAGCAGATGTCGACGGTTTAAATGAATGCATTTTCATTCAGAGTTTGTTTTTCCGTCGGACACAAATGAAATTTAAATTAGCTTAAAGCAGCTTTATTGCTCAGAAAAACAACAACAACAAAAACACACACTTAGCATCAGAAATATGTGCATCTAATTAAGTTACTCAGTAAATGAAGTCTGAGCTGGACCAGTTCTGGGATTCCTGTTTTTAATTTAGCCGTGAACACTGGAGCTGCACCGAGCAGCGTTCTGACCATAAATAAAACATGATGCTAGCCGCTAACAGCTAACAGCTGATATGCTGGAGAACCAGAGAACCGAGGACGTTAGGTTACTGTCTGCTGGGAGATGTTAGCGTGAGTTAGCACCTGTTAGCATGTGCTAGTACATGTTAGCATATGACAGAACATGTTTACGTTGCTCCANAAGTAATTTAACCACGTTTTGAATAGTTTTAATCAAATTTTTGTTTTTTTAGGCAATTAATGAATCAATTTTACAAAATTTCTTTAAGCTGCAGCTCAGAGTTTCAATAATAAGATTTTTTTATTTAATTTGTGCAATATTTAAGTCCTGCTGGACGGTTGTGTTAACTTCAGAACAATTCAGTCGGTTTGGAGAGTTGTTTCTGAGACGTTTCGATTCCTTTTAGAAAAGTTCAGAATAAAAACTGGACTTTAAAAAATCCTTATTTATTCTTTTACAATGTTTGACTGTAAAATTACAGCTTCAATGAATTTAAATCAACTTAAAAAAAACAAAACAGTAAATTATTTTCCAGCTATTTTCTGGTGTTGTGGTGATTTTTTTTTCTGCAACGATATTTGTTCTCTGAAAGAAAAGACGACGTCGAGAAAAACTGTTTTTGCTGTTATTTTACAGTCTATCTGTTTATTTTTGTTGTGTTTTTTATAAACATTATTTTACAATGTGTGACTGTATTTAAATCTGCTATAAAAAAAATAAACGGTGAATAATGTTTTATGTGTTATTTTGCTGTTTACCTGTTTTTAAGTTTTTTTGGTTTTTTTTTATACAGACAATATCGACTAAAATCAAACTAAAATGATTATTTTACATGTTAACTGTAAAATAATTCAGTTTGTTGTCGTTAAATCAGTTAAAATGTTCTTTACTGTCCAGATACTTGCTGCTAGTTTCACCGTTTCTCTGTTTTTTCCTTTTCTTCAGGAGTTTTGGATCTTTTAATACGATACAAACTCTGAGTAGCAGCAACACTCGCTGTTCTTTGAAAGAGTTGATCTGTTTGTTTGTTTGTTTGTTTGTTTGTTTGTTGGTTCTGTTTTAATCCAGTCCAGTCCGTCTCTGCGTCCCAGATGTTTCCGGCCGGCCGTCTCTGCAGGTTCACGCGTTTCTACACGTTGTGGCCGATTCTTTGTGGCACCTTTGCTTCCAGATTATTCTTTATTTTGTTCCTGATGCGTATTTGCATAACGTCCCTGCAGGCGCCGGCCAGGCGTCGGGCTCACCAGGACAGAATCAGCACGGACGGACAACCAGAACACGGAGCGGCCCGCGGCTGCTTAAAAATAGCCGTCTAAAGAGGTTAAAGAGAGAAGCTTCAGCCGGAGGTGTTCTCCGGTCCGCCGAGACGCTCCTGTTCTTTATAACCCAGAACCTCACCTCGTAGTCCACCTCCAGCGACTGGGCCTCCCCGCGGCTCTGGAAGTGCGTGGCGTGGCCGTCCACCGTCAGGTTCACCTGCCGGTTGAAGCGCTCGATGTGGACCGAGTGCCAGTGCTGGTCGTCCAGCAGGCTGCCCACGGTCACGGCCACCCGCCGCCCGCTGGACCGCGTCCGGCTGTCGTCTGCAACAAACACAGCAGGACGGCGGGTCAGAGGTGGAACCGCTCAGGCGTGACAGAGAAACAGAGTCCGATCAGCCAGTCGGATCAGAACCACGACACAGTGACAGGAGACAGACGGAGACGGCTCAGAGACGACAGGAAGAGAATGAAAGATAAGAGCAGAACAGAAAACATCACATGACCAGGAATCAATCAATCAATCAATCAATCAATCANCAGCGCAGCTAATGATTGTTTTCACTTTATTCCAATCGCTGACAAGAATCACTTAAATCTGAGTCATCAAACAGAGCCGCGGCCCGGCCCGGCCCGGCCCAGCCCGGCTCGGAGACAAACCGGACATCAGGCTGCTCGTCAAACACCGTCACCAGGTCAGAGTCTGATTAGTCCACACTCACATCAGACACGAAAAATTACCACAAACACACAGAAATGTTAATACAAACAGAAAACCTCCACAAACAGGCAAAAAACTAACCAAAAGACTCAGAATCACCACAAAAACGCTCAATTATACCAAAAAGAAACAAAAAATCAGCACGAACACACAAAATTACCAGAAAAAGACAAAATAATAAAAAAAAGATGAAAAATTACCAGAAAAAGACACAAAATCATCATATAAAGATGCAAAATTAGCCAAAAGACTCAAAATCCATAGAAAAAGAACCAAATATACCACAGAGTAAGAAAATCTGAACAAAAACACGAGAAAATACCACAAAAAACACAAAATCTCCAAAAAAGAGACAAAACTGACACAAAATCAGCACAAAAATGCCCAATTATACCAAAAAGAAATACAAAATTAACACTAAAAGCCACAAAATCATCAGAAACAGACGAAGAAAATACCATAAAAAACACAAAATCTCCACAAAAAGAGACAAATTCAACTCACAACAGAGAATAAACCAGAGAAAGAATCAAAATCTGAACAAAAAGATGCAGAAGTTACCACAAAGGCTGAACATCACCACAAAAAAGGTTAAATTCACCACAATGAGACACAGAAAGAGGAAAAATTACCCGAAAGAATCACCACAATACTCCAAACTAACGAAGGTAAATTAAAACTTGTCCAAACTTTTTAAAAAACGATTCACATATTGTACAAAATAACTTGAAAAATGCCTAAAATGACCAAAAAACATGTTTAAAACTGTTCAGAACTTCTGCAAAATGACCAATATTTTTTCTAAAGTGAACAAAATTATTAAAAACTGCCAGAAATTAATTGTCTTATTAAAAATGACTCAATAGTTCTTAAAAATGACTGAAATAGTGTAAAGATTAACTCAANTTAGTTTCATTTTGGAAACATTTTGGACATTTTTTGATATAAATCTTGGATAAATGTCTTTCTAGTAAATATTGAGTAATTTTGAACGGTTCTATTTTTTATTATTATTTCGTTGCTGTGCTGAGTTATTTCATAGTCAGTATAAACAGAGTTTTGTCATTTTGGGTGATTTATGAGACATTTTGTAAAATATTTCACCAATTCTGAAAAGTTTTTGTCATTTTGGGAAACTTTTGATTCCATTTGGACGATATTCTTCATTTAGGGGAATTTTAGGACATTGGATTGTTGGGACTTTTAAAGTACTAATTATTACAATATTAATTATATAATATTGATTAGGGGACAATTTTGAGTAATTTTGAATAATTCTTTTTAATTTGGGACATGTGTCGAGTCATTTTCAGTGAATTTTAACAGTTTTGGACAAATTCTGTCTTTGTGGGATTTTTTTGTTTTTTTTGTAATTTAGATTTTTTTTTTTTTTCCTTCTCATGTTGGAAACGTGTCGAGTTATTTTAGCCGAGATCCAAGTTTCAACATTTAACGCAGGGATCAGTCGACATGTTGTTGTTTGTTGTTGTTTTGTAGGGCTGATTATTGATCATCAAAAAGGCCGATCAATACATCTTTAGAACTGATATGCATCAGACGTGATGTTTTATCGAGACGTGACAGCAGGACGACGTCATTAATAAATATGTAAAACAGAAACAGGACAGATTAATGATCTCCTGTTTCTGTGACTCCTGATCGATCATTTTTTTCTCCTGATCGATCAGCTCTAGTTTGTCAATCTTTCTCTGTTCCATACCTTTTATTGTCCTCTAAAGCTCCAGATCTTAACTCAGTATTAATTATTGTTTCAGGTGAATCTGTAGCCGCCTGCTAACTTAGCCGCTAGCTGTTAGCGTAGCATTAGCCGCCGTGAGCTAATTTCCTGGTTTGTGTTTCCTGTTCAGTCTCTGCTTCTGATAAGAGTGTTTAATCCGTCAATAATCAGTCGATAAGTAATTAATAACGCCACATGCTGGGAAGAACAATCCAGCTTAACGAGTATCGGCTTTAGATGTCGGCTCTCTGCCTCTTTGATCACCAATAATCACCGTTATTGGCCCTGAACAGCCACACGGTCGATCCCTCACACACACATTTATGTCTTTATGAATGTGGAGGACGGCGGATCGTAAAACGTTCTGCTGCAGTCATTCAGCAGCTCGTCTCGTTAGCGTGGGCGGATCCTCGTTAGACGAGCTCCATGGAGACGACGAGGCCGCCGCTGACATCAGCAGTCGGTCCGGGTCACTTCCTGTTAAAAGCTTCAGGAGGAAACCGTTCAGAAGACGACAGAAGTTCTGTGACGTGAGCACAGACACGAATAGATGAGCAGAAATATCCAGAGAGGAAGTTAAACACATGCTGAAGTCCAACATGGACAATAAATAAAGTGATGATTTAAAAAGTGCAAAAGTGAAAAATGCTCCATCAAATATACTAAAATAAAAACATAGTAAAAGACTATTTTATATTTATATCTATATCTATGAATTCATGTTATTAAAGAGCCAGTTTCTGCTCATTTGAAGGTTCAGGGTTTCCTTTTTGGGTCTATTTTTTGGGCTTTTATATATTTATGATGATTTTTTTATTCATTCACTAATTTACATACTTCTGTCTCATCAATCGATTGTTTATGATTTAGGTTTTTTTTTTAATTTTCTCGTTTAGATTTTTAAATGTCGACTTCTATATATCTAGATTTTACTGTTTGTTCTTTAGGTATTTTTTATTTTACGTATTTA